CCCCACCCTGCCTTTGTCACCCTCGAATCTGACAGACAGGGCCGTCTTCCGTTGATCCATGAGCACTGCGCACCTCCCAGCCTCTCCCTCCCCTCACCCCCCCACCCCCTGACACCGTGCCCAGTGATTCTGGACGGCAGTATGGCGTGGGGGTCGCTCTACATCATCGTCCGCCGGGGGAGGCTCCACAGGGAGGCATGGCTCACGCACCTCAGCCCCCTCTTCCACCAGCGCCAGGTCACCACCTGCGATGTGCTGGCATTTTGGGCGGTGGGCCCCGGCGCCTGCGGCCTAGCGGTGCTCCATCGACGTACTCAGGTGCGCTGACGGCCTCCTCCTCTGAGGAGCGGTGGGAGAGGGGGTTGCCGGCCGCCCCCGCAAGCGACTGCGCGTGTGCAGGCTGGCATGCGTCCCCCTGCACCCCAGAGCATGCCAGGCCTGGCCATGACCCAGATGACGTGCCACCCTCCCTAAACTTCCCATCCAACATGGCCGTCCAGGAAGCCAAAAGCACCCTGGAGGGTCTGGCCCAGCGTGGCAGGGCAGCCGAGATGCTGGAGCCGGAGGTCCGGGATGCTGTTGGGCGGAAGAGGCCCGCTCCCCGCCAGTCCGAGGCTCAGGGGCAGGCCGCAAAGAATAGTGCTCGGGAGGAGGCATGGCCCAACGTATGGGCTGGCGCAGCCCACCGGCGGCCAAGGCTCGGAGGGAGCTGCAGGTCAGTGAACTTGCGCTGCAGGCTGGCGCTCCCGTGGCCGGCGTGGCGCATGCTGGCGGGCCTTCCCGCGGGCCCCCCACGAGTTCTGGGGTCCCTGGGAGAACCGGAGCCGCCCCCGGCTTCAGCCACGGCCCGGACGATTTCTGCCGGGCGCCTGGGTCGGGGCCCCGGCTCCCCATTCCTCGGACCCCAGCCCGCCCGAACCGGCCCAGGTGGACGAGGTTGGCCCCGGGCGAATGCCGCCGCCGGAATCCGCACTGGCGCACGCCATTGCCCTCCTGCACAGTCAGCACCTACTCCTGCACAAGAAGCATGCGGCGTCCAGGATGCTGTGCGCCATGATCTCTGCGCGGGCGGCGGCGGGGCGAGGCGCCGCCGCAGGCCCTGCTGGCGGCGTGGAGCCGCCTGCTGTCGTCCCACAGGAACCACCATGGCCCATCCTGCAGCCTCAACCTCAGCAGCAGCAGCAGCAGCCTCAGCAGCAGCAGCCCTAGCAGCCGTCTGTGAAGTACATGCTCTGGTCGCAGCAGCCACAGCAGCCTTGTAATATAAATCTCCCGCTGCCTGGGCAGCCGCCCATGCTGCCCACCGCGTGGCCACCTGTGCAGCCAGTCGTGCAGCCACCCATGCACTCGCCCCTAGCGTGTTCAGTCCCATGCTGAAGCTGCCAGAGCTGAACCCCTCTGCTCTCGCACTGTTTGCGAGGGTGATCGTGCACCTTCGCAACCTGCTGATCTGCAGCGTTCCTACCGCCGTCCGCCTCCTCAAAAGCTGGGAAGGGCAGGGGGACGCTCCTGGGGGCGGCACACGGATCGCACCTTGTGGCGGCGTGCGGATTGCACCCGGGTTCGAGCCGCGGGACCCCAGGAGGAGGTCAACGGAATGGTCGACTGCCGGACAGGGGTCGCCAGGTCCCGCCGCGGTGCTGATTACTGTCCAGGACGCGCATGCATCCTCTGCCGGCAACGGCCGGTTGGCGGAGGGACGAGATGCCAGTGGCGGCCCCTTGGCGATTGGGCAAGACGCACAAGGCGGCCAGTCGGCAGAGGGACGAGATGCGGACGCTGGCCAGTGGGCATAGGGATGAGGCGTGGGCGCTGGCGGGCCGCATCAAGTCTCTGAGGCTCATGAGGGGTCCCAGGAGCCCATCACCCCCAACACCCAGAGGCTGGGAGAGACTGCACCCCTCGGCCCTGCTGCTGGCCCCCGCTGGCCCAGGGATCTGCGGCGCAGAGGAGGAGCGCAGCTGCCGAGGCGAGCCCTGGTCAAGGAAACCGCCGTGCGGGGTTTGACGGCGCTGGCGACAACCTGCAGGTCGCTGGTGGGGCGCCTGGAGGACGAGAATGTGGAGGTACCGCAGCCGGCGATGGACTCCCTCGCTGACATCCTTCTGCAGATGCAGGCATGGATTTGCTCCCAGCCCTGGGAGCTGGGGTCGGCCTGACGAGCCTTGCTGTTGCCCTGGTCCCTGCAGCCGACTTTGAATGGTGCAGCACCCAAACGAACAACCAGACAGGCACGCAGATGGGGCTGATGGGGGAGGTACGAGCAGTCCGGGGATGCTCCTCATCAGCGTGCCCCCCGGCGGGTCCGCACCCGCCCAGCGCTCAGCCGTCTGACCGTACGGGGAGCTTGAAGCTGAGGCTCATGGAGTCATCGTACCCTGCAGAGCTCTCCGGGTCGCTGTATATGCAAAGCAAGTGCACAAAGCCACCGTCGCCTGCAGTCCGGATGAGTGGGCCCGCTCAGCTGGGGAGAGGACGGGCCATTTGCTGGCATTCACCTCCTTCAGGAGGTGGGCATCCCCAGGAGTAGTGCGGCTGCACAAATCCCATCGTCAACCTGCCCTTTGCAGCCCGACTCCCCAGTCTGGGCACCCCAGCCAGCCACAGTGCCCCAAGCACCACCCTCCGGCACCCTCCGGTGCCCACCTGCTATGCCCAGGAGAAGCTGGGCGGGTCCCGTGAACTGGGAGGCGAGGAGGGCGCGGGACAGGTGCTTGGCCACCGTGCAGGCGCCGGCGGCGTGGCCCGTGGCCTCGGCCGCCGCCAGCCTCTCCGCCGGGTCTGTTTGCCGGGACGACGCCCTGTGCAACAAGTGACGAGGAGGGGACTGCGTGGGTGCGGGCATGGGTAGTAGGCTTGGCTTGCCTGACTGCATGGGTGGCACATGGGAGGGGTGTGTGCAGTCGCACAGGCAGCATCCCTCGCAACACCACCAGGGGATCCAGCACCCCCCGCACCGCACCTTGCGCTGGGCACCGCCATGGACACCGGCAGGACCTGCAGGGCTCCCGTCTCCGAGCCCAGCCCCAGCCCTGGCACATGGGCGCTCATGTACGCCTTGCCGTGGCGGGTGGTGGAAACGTGGAGCTCCGCCGCCAGGCCCTTCAGCCTCTCCGCCAGGTGCTGTGACGCGGAGGGGTGCAGGGGTCCACACAGGCTCAGTCAAGGCAGGGCAGCATTCAGCACAGGGACAGAGTGGAGCGTGGCGCCTGCTCTCCGACGTCAGGCGTCGACCCAGCTGCGCTGTGGAGACATGCATGCGCACTCGGGCCCACTGCCCCGACCCCCACACCCTGCGCACTACAGCACATTTTCCCGAGATCGCCTGGAGCTGCTCAGAGCAGTGCCATCCCATGACGCGGCCAGTGCTCGATCGCAAACCCACCTGGAAGCGTGGCATCTCAGGCTGGATGTCCAAGTAGAAAGGACAGAGGGAGTTGAGGTCACGCAGGGACACCAGCTGCTCAACCTGTGGGGTGCGCAGGGTATGCAGAGATGCGTGTCATGGATATGAAAGCCTGGAGAGCCTGCGCCGCAGGTATGCAGCATGTAGCACGACATGTGATTGTGCAGAAGGGCCGGGCCCGGAGAGCTCCGCCCAAGAGACCTGGCTCGCAGGGTATGGCCTGGTGATGGGGAGGTCCTGCAGCAAGCATCAAGAGGGATCGGCGTGGGGGCAGAGGATGCCCTCTGAAACACGCATCAAGCATGCCCAACTCTGCAAGATCTAGGCCCCACCGCCTCACCTGCACCATGCTCATGTCATACCCCTGCCATGCAAAGGAAAGGACGGGACGCTGCGATGTCTGCTCGCTGCCGGATGACACGGCTCCTGTTGTGCAGGGACCGGGGCACTGTTGGTGCTGAAGAGGAGCATGCTGTCCTACCTCAGTTCTCATGGTTAAACACCCAGCCACGTCATCCCAGCAAAGAGTAAGCTCTCCATGCTGGTGACATCCAGGCGTGGCCTGCGCAGAACCTATCTAATCCAGGTCCAGACCTGACATGCTGCTCGAGCAGGCCCTCATGGTGAGCCGCATTTCGAGGCTGGAGGCATCGTTGGCGGCGGCAGCATGCAACACCCTGAGTAGCAGGGCGGTATCCAGTGCAAAGGCTATCTTGTTGTCGCAGCGCGACTCTATGTGGAAGCTGCCGGGCTCAAACAGGACCGCCTGAGGGAGGTATGGGAGTTGATACTTGATGGAAATTCAGCACAGACAAGCAAGGCCTTTCTGGCAGCTTTCCGTGGCCTGACAATTTCTCAGCTTGAAAACATCTCCAGCATAAAAAGCCAACAATGATGGGCAAAGAAGAAAGGCACAAGAACTTGCAGCTGCAGTCGATTGTTTCCCCAACCACCCTTCACAATTATCTCACCGCAGCCACACGTGCCGATAAGAGCAGGCCATCAGTGTCTTGCTCTGTCTGACAGAGATATGCACCCTGGGGATCCAGGAGGAGCTGCAGGCTCTTCCCAAACTTTTCGAATGTGGGTAGGAAACCCTTCTCCAACACTCGCAGGCCTCTGTCCGACAAGGTGGCCTTCAGCTTCATCGGAGCAAGGCCTGGCCGTGAAGATCAGGGGCCTCTCGAAACCAAGCGGGTCCAAGAGCGGTCTGCCTTCATAGAAGCGTAGGCTCGAAATGTGTTCGCCGTGAGAGCGGTGTCCGGTAGCCGACCGATGCACAACAGAACTTCGTGGAGGATCACGATCGATGTGATGGCGGTATTTTCAATAACATTACAACTCTTTGTTTATTTCATATTATTCTTATTCTTGCATGTGGCCTTCTTGGGCACCTGATCGCCAGTTCATCGGGAACTTCAGTTCGAATTCGCGCCCAGATCGTTAGTGCGGATCCTTCTCCTTTCGCTCTGACGCTCCATGCAAAGCTGGAACAAGTATTCTCAGATTGCCATAGCTTGTGCCATTACAGCTGATGCATTTCATCTAAAGAGTCGTGTCAGACCCTGGCTGAGCGACAGCCTCAGCATCCACCAAGCCTACTGCTGCTGCTGCCTGCTGCTTGTCTGCTTCTTGCTGAGCCTCCGCATCCTGTGCGAGCCGCGCAGCCTCTTCCTCATCCTCGAGGAGCGGGGCATAATAATCTCGGTGTGCCAGCATGCACTCCCTGAGTGCAATCGTCTGTGTAGTCCATAGAGGTCGGGATCAGGAGGACGAACTTGTTGGGAGCAACCAAGGCATTCTTGCACCCTTTGGGGGTCCAGAGATTGAGATATCACACACATCCACCGAGCAGCAAGAGAGAATTATGCACGAATGCGTGCCATACCAAGCCTCAAGGCTCACCTGGTCGCCGCATCGAGATGCAAAGTCTGCGCCGTCTTCTCGCTCCTTGTCCACACACTTGCTCCAGGCCTATGGCACCAGGTGATTTGAGTTGAGTGGTCCGAACATGCTCTGCATAGCATCTCGCAACCCCTGCCCCCCTGACTGACTCAACCCCGACTCACATTGAAAGCCTTCTTGCAGCCTCCACCCTTCATGAAGATGCAAAACCCACAGGTATCATTTTCATCATCTTCATCGTCCTCATCCTCGCCAGCTGAACCCTGCTGTTCCTCTGGATGAGCAGCTGTCGCAGGGGGGTCCGAGCCAGCATTCGTCTTGGCCTCAGACCTGCCGTCGGAAGCAAGCTTTGGAACTCCCGTCCCGCTGGTGCTAGCGGGGGCACTGCCGCCCTCTGCGCATCGGTCAAATATGAAAGAACATATGATTGCTTACCAGTGTCCATGCATGCACCCGGATTGGGACCATGAAGCTCCTAGTGATGCATCCTCACCTGCCATGTCGACCACAGCTGCTGCGTCCAAGGCTGAATCGGGACCAGCAGGAACAAGAGCTGGTAGCCAGTACAGGGTTCAGTATATTAAATTCAGCCTTCACGTCGTGAGGTGCGCGCGCCAAAGGCCTTTGCTTCCATTGTGCGTGCCGAAATTTCAACGCGTGACGATGACTCATCAATGATATTACATCCTTCACACAGCGGACTCGAGAATTCTCTGATGGGCACTGGGTCACGCCCTAACCAGGCTCACAATTCCACAGGAGCACCTCAAGACTCTGGAGGACCAGTCCGTACGCATCTCGACCGTGCGCCCGCCTTACTCCCCGCCGAGCCGCCAAAGGTGGGCGGTACATCCGCGTCCCGCAGCTCCTGCAGCACGGCCTCCAGCCCCCCCGCCCTGCCCTCCACCCTGTCCCAGGCATCGTCCAGCATGGGGCTGCCATACACCCGCGCCTCGTTCCGGAAGGAGAAGATGGTGCCCGACCGCCACTGCGCGTCGGGGCGGCGCGCCAGCGCCTCCAGCAGGTCCCGCCGCTCCTTGGCGCTGTAGGGCGTCCGGCCCGTGCCCCCCTTGCTGAAGCAGCTCTCCACGTCGGGCAGGCTGATGCTGCCGCGCCGCTCCGCCGACAGGCTGGCGGTGGGGTCCGCCACCGTTTGCTTGTACCAGCCCGACAGCTGGCCCCAGGGGTAGGTGGGGCGGTACAGTTTGCTCACCCCTGCGCCTGCCCGGGTCCCGGCGCCCGGGGCACGGGGGAATTGACCCAGATGAAGGTCGTGCAGCTGGTGCAGGGGTACGGGCGACGACACGACGCTCTGTAGGGGGCGGGGGGGGTGGGGGGGGTGTTGAGGCCATTGGGCGGGGGCATTGAGATTCTGAGCTCAGGGCAGGCCAATGCGGGCGCGACGCTGGCCCCGGCTGTGTGATAGTGCGCTGGGACAGGATGTAGACTGTGAGATCGTCCCACCCAGATTGATGCTGCTCACAGCTGGGCCGATCCATTCATGACTGCGGGGCACGCTGTCTCCGAGCTATGGCACCCCACCCGCCATCGTTTCAATGATCCACGACACACCCCTTCTCTCTTTGAGCAAGTCCCCCCAAACCCATGTCACTCACCACATAGCCCCTCTCCGGGGCAAACCAGGTGCGGGTCCGGGCGTAGAGGGTCAACACGTCGGCCAGCGCCGTCAACCCGCCACCCAAACCCACGTCAACCCGGCGCAGCTCCCGCACGAGATCGGAAAGCGCGGCGCGGGCCTCATCGACGCCGGCCACGTCCCGCAGCAGGATGCCCAGCAGGCACACCAGCTCTGGCGCAAGCTCAGCGCCGTGCCTGGCCGCCAGCCTCGCCACGTCCTCCCGGGTCTGGGTGGCGGAGAAGTGGCGGGATAGGCTGGGGGAGGACAGGACCTGGGTCAAACCCTGCAGCGCCCTGAAACCCACGCTGCGCGGACCTGCGAGTGGCGCTGGCGGGATTGTGTGAGTTGTGTGTGGAATGGTGGGCGCAGGTCGTCATGCAGGGGTGCTGGTGAGATGCTGAGCAACTGCGACACCGCAACTTGACACAACATCGCAACGAGCTGGCGGTCTCCCTCCAGATTCTTCACCCTGATCCTTTCCCATAACCCCACCATCCGCCAGGGCACAAACGATTGCCCCACATCACCCCCCAAATGCACTACAATCTCACCGTGCCAGAGGTGGTCCAGGACCTCGGCATCGGACAGCAGGTAGATCGCTGGGCCCTGGGACTGGCCCGGGGCTGCCAGCACCATCTTGACCTTGTCCAGCGTGATCACGATGTTCTGCAGGCGGTTGGCAGTCACGCCTCTCGCCTCTGTGTAAAAGTAAAGAGGTGGGGGGTTTTAAGGGTAGCTGCCTTCAAACATCAGGAATGTCCAGGCTGCCATGGACTTGTGGCGCGCCATCAGATGGAATGCATGGCACCCAGATGCTCAGCTAGTATAAATTCATGGGCCTGCCCCTTCAGCAGGGTCCTGCTTCGATCAAGTCTTCTCCGACTCCAAACAGCTCCCGTAACAATTGAACCCAAGATGCACCTCCCGCCCTGCCTGCCAGTGAGCAGCCATCTCCCCCTTTCCCTCCCCAAACAGGCAACATACCAGCGCTCGCTGTGGCCTCTGTGTAGATGCCCAGCGGATGCTTGAGCAGCTCGGAGCAGAGGCTCGCCTGCTCCTGCTCCAGGTACTCGCACACAAGAGCCGCCCACTTCTCCAGCCAGGCGGGCACTCGCTGCCCCTGCACCGCACAGCCCAGTGCGCTTGACCCCAGTCCGTGACGCTACGGCGAGGCGGGGGCGCGCGTGGAGGACAGGCAGGGAGTGATGGAATGGCCAGCGGCCATGAAGGCGGGTAGCACAAGGGGCCAGTCCAACCTCCCTTGGCCTGGCCCTGGGATGCTTCCTGCAGAGGGCCATCCTCTCGCTCCAGATCCCAGGCATCGTGGACTCTCCCACAACCAAAGACAACCCCCTCACCCGGAGACGTGCCGCGTCGTCCGGGGTCAATGGCTGCGAGGCGGCGCGGAGGAGGCAGACCTGGCGGTGCAGAAAATTGTGCTTTGCTGCCATGACCGTCTGGAATGCACGGGAGCCAGTGTAGTAGAGGTAGGAGCCCCTGATGGTGGCGATGAAATGGAGGAGGGGTTTGTCTGGCACATGCCTTAGGGCAGCATGCTTTGCCATGCAAAGTGCACCACAAGGTGCTGCTGCTGATGCACATTTAGTGTATCCCACTCTGCCGTACCGCCCAGAGGGCTTGCCTGCACGTCGCGGTGCTGCACAGGCAGATGGCATCCCGGAACTCCTTCTCAGACTCGGTGACAGACGAGTAGTCAAAGGTTAGCTCCTCTCCTAATAAGCAGGCCAGATCATGGGAGGGGTTGGGGAGGGACATACATGGCGTGACCGCAATCATCTTTCCTGCAAGCACTTGCTTTTGAGCAAGCATTCCTTGGGCCATTGAATGGCACGAGGGAATATAATTGCTGATGAACTTGCTACCCCTCCTCCTGCACAGTGGCGGGTTCACTGCCATGCCCAGGTGCCGCCTCACCCTCTGCGATCTGGCGCAGGGTGTGCATTGCGATGGTGAGGCGCCCATCGCAGGCCATCACCGTGGCCTGGCAATTTGGGGTGCAGCTGTGGCTCATGCGTGACGCGATTGTCCCCTGCAAGGGCAGGGGGGCAAGCAAGGAGGAAAGGGGGAGGTTATTCTTGGGAAATCGGGCTGCGGAGCTCAGCACAACATTCTAATCTGCCCTGCGTAGCACATGCCTGCACACATCATGCTGCAAGCGCTGCTCAGGGTGCCACATCCACATGCGTCAGTCGTTGCACGGCTGTGCTGCACGAATGCTCCACCTTGGAGGCGGCGTCGATGAAGAGGACATCATACCCTTGCTCTTCGTCCTTTGGCCGCTCCAAGACTATGTTGTAGAAATCGGGCAGCTCGTCACCTGTGATCTTCTTAACCGCGTCCTGAGGGCCAGTCAAGTAAACATGTTTGTGGTTGGTAGAGGGTTCATTGATTCCTGTGCACATGGCGCTCCTCACAGTGGCCAGTGCAGCCGCCGCCCAGTGGTCCTCCTCTCTTTCCTTTGCTTGGAAGAACAGAGCATATCGCCAGGCACATGCCACTCAGGAGCAAACAGGGCCCGCCCCTTCCAATCCCGCTGCACCTGGATCTCAAACCATCGCCAGGGGGTGTGGATCTCCCCCAGGTACTCCTCAACAAAGGTGAGGGGGGATAGGCCGGCTGGCCTTTTACACACCAGCCCCATGCCCTTGGGGTGCAGCCTGAAGTAATTGTACCCCACCTGGTAGCGTGGGGGAGGGCAAGAGTGTGGGGCTGGGGGATAAGTGCCATGCAATGCGGTGTGTTGCGCGCATGCATCTCACGCCTGTTATTATAAATCGAGACGTTCCCTCCCTCGCCCGCACACCTTGGCAAGCCTGTCAAGGACAGCCTTGGCGGCCCGAGCGCTGGCAGGCACAGCTTTTTGATCTCGCTCGCGGATGTGATTCAGGGCAAGGGCGATGTCCCACCCATGCTGGCCCTGGCGGAGGGTTTGGGAGGGAGAAAGTTGGGAAGGTACCGCACAGTACGATCTGGTTGCCCGCGGACCGTGGGCGGATGCGCTGCGACAACTTTCGCCCAGAGGGCAAAGATCACCTCCAACCTCCCCCTCCCCTCCACTTCAATCCCAGACCTGCTTGGTGATGGCCGGCAGCAGGACGCCCTCTATCCAGGCATGCACGCGGGAGAGCACGCCCGCGGCGTCAGACCCGACCCCCTCCGCCTCGATTTCTCCACCGGCAGGCGAGGTGGCGAGGGCAAGGCCCGCGGCATGGCCGCCCGCGGTGGCCGCCACCACGGCGGCCGCGGCTGCCTTGGTGGTGGAGGAGCTGCCGAAGGGCTTGCCCCCACCCCCCGCTCCGTCCTGGGACAGGTCCGGGTGCGGCAGCTGAGCGGGGCTCTTGGCCTGGCCAAATGCCTTGCTGTCCAGCACGGCTGAGATTAGAGCAGATTGGGTGGGAGGAGGTGGATCAAGGACATATGTGCCTGAGCAGCACCCCAGGTAGTAGGGCGAGTGAATATGCAGATGGCAGCAGTTAATGGTCTTCTGTGTACAGAATGAACCCCTCTTCACATTCACCGTCATCTCCACGAAGATCATGCTGCACCGGGGCAAGCAGCCCCGCACCTCAACACACCCTGAAGTACCATGACACACACACAAATGGCTTGTCTGTCGCCCCGAGTATCCTGTCTCACCATCTTGGATGTTGCGGCGCGTGTAGCAGTCCATGCCCCAGGCGTCCCTTTCGTCCACATCCACCCCAACTTGTAGTGTCTGCCTCTGAGATATCGCTCGATTCAAGCACTCTACTTGGTGGTGTGGGGGGTGAGGTCTTCAGGGTACTGGGTTGCTGTGAGCGGAATGAGGTACTGGGAGTAAGGTCCGCCACCATCCTTGCATCTTGGGTGGACCCGCAAGGTCAGGTGCACCAGTCCCCTCTGGCCTTGCCGTAGGTCAAGGGTCTGTACACACCTCCTGACGGTCACAGCCCAGGAACATCTTGCACCCAGACACTCCTGTGCAGACAAAACCCTCTTTGAGGCCCTGCATGCCCCCTCCCAGCTCTGACCCTCATCGTTCCGCCCCACCAGCTGTTGCCCCACCTTGAGCAGGACAGCCGCAAGCGTCGTCGCACTCTGTGTTGGCGGCCAGGCACGCACAGCCAGACCTGAAGCAGTCGTGCTCCAAGCTTCGGAACAGGCAGAGCAGGGCAGGGGGGAGTTTCGGCTCATCTTCTCAAGGTGGGGTTGCGAGGCAATCACACCTCGAGCAGCGAGACCCAACACTCGACTCCGGCCCCTCAGGCATGTCCCTCTCCCCCACTGTCCTCCCATCCCTCAGCCTACCTGTAGCTGCCCAGGCCCTGAGTGGTGGTGCAGTTCTGACCATCGCAGCCCCCCCTCTTTGTGGTCAACAGCTTCCTCCGGATCTGCTCGACCATGCCCGGCTCCAGGATGTCATACTCACTCAGGCGGGTGTAGGGCCGGGCCGGGAATGGCTCCTTCCGCCACTCCCCATGCCGGAAGGGCTCCTTGTTGGCAAGGATGGAGGGGGGCAGGCGGAGGCTGCCTGGAGTGCGGCTGCTGGCGCCGCTTGAGGAAGCCCTGTCCGCCATGCGACCCGGTTTTCTTGCGGTGTCGGGGCCGCGCAGTCCGTCTGCAGCCAGCACCCCTTCCAGCCCGCTCGACAGAACGGACAGGAGGGCGTCCTGCAGGCTCGCCAGGCGGCCCCGGCGCATGGCAGCGCCCTGGGACGACCAAATGGCAAGGGGAAGGTGGGGAATGGCATGAACAATGCATCTGTGGCAATGTGGGGCTCTGCACCAGGCCAATGATGGTGAGTCAAGGCTGCAAAGGGCACACCATGTCCATCCTCACGGCTCCTGTCACCAATCTACAGAGACACAGACTGCGGATGCCGACCTGCAGGGTGATGTATCGCTCGGTGCAGGCATGCACCTCGTCTGCCACTGCCGCCAGCACGTCCCCAACATCCTCAAAGGATCCAGCTGTGGGAGGGGCATGGTGCGAGGAGGCAGTCGATCCAGCCATTCTTCACCCTTGCAACACTCTGCTTTCAGAAGACATTGCAGGGAGAATGCCTCCAGCAAAAGGAGCCGCTCACCCTCTAGGGACGAGATGGTGTTCTCCAGCTGCAGGCCCATGCCCTGGAGCTGGACCAAGGCCTGGCTGCCCCGTACCTCCTCTAGCAGCACTTGGAATAACTGCAAAAGGGTGGAGTGGTGGGTGGTACTTGATACTGGTAGAAGGTTCAAGCATGACAAGCCTTACATAGACATGCACGCCTCGTTCCGGGGAACTCCTGCACCAGACTCCCAACTTCTGACGAGCGTCAACCAGGAACACCCACCTTGGAGTGTGGGTGGGTTGGCTGCTGGCCTGCATCCCCATCGCCAAGCTCTCCAGCACCCTCCTGCTTCTGTGTATTGATCTCCCCCGCCTCGAACTTGACGACCACCTCCTCGCCGCCACCGGCACGAGGCTGCTGCAGGGCCAAACGCAACACCCGCCCCACCTCACGCTGCGAGGCAGCATCCAACACAGCGAGGCTCCCTGACAGGGATAAGGGGTCGGGGCTGTCCCCGCCGTCGCCGCCGGCCTTCCGCTTCCGCGCGGCGGCCGAAGCCGCGGCGCGCGCCCTTCGCGGCTTGCAGTCCCTCTGCTTGTGTGCGGCGCAGGCTGCAACGACCCCTGGGTCGATGCAGATGGAAAGGTGATCCTGCAGCGCCGACGCCGGGAGGAAGAGGGAGGGACCCGAAGGTGCTCTGTCTGGAGCCCTGCCTGTCGTGCCCTCGCTTGCTAAATCTCCCTGGGCCAGCATGAGAGATGATCGACCACCATCGCCCTCTGCCGCTCCACTGAACGCAGCGTTGCCAGCATCCAGGAGGTCTGAGAGGGCCTGTGCCCGCTCACGCTCCCCCCTCTCAAACTGGAGCCGAATCTCCGAGGCACAGGCGGCTCTGAATGCATCCACAACGGCAGACCCCGGCCCACTGGAGCTCTTCGAGGATTCCAGGATCTTGCTGTTGTCGAATAATTGATGGGAGGCAGGGCAACGTGAGGATTTGGAGAGGCCATGTGGGAGCAGGAGAGGGAAGGCAGTGGTCTAGCCAAACCACAGACCAACACCTGCTCTGCTGTTCCAACTCTGTTGCCCATCCCTCCGCCCGATAGAACACACCTGAGCATGTATATGACTTCCCTTCGATACACCTCATCCCCTGCTTCCAGGCAGGAGAGCAGATCGCCTTCACGTGCAGCTTGCAACAAGTCAGTCACGACTGCCCGACCTTCTCCTTGGGAGAGGATCCCCTGCTCAGGACTAGAGGACACGGCAACGGCCTCTGAGCCCTGATCCCCACTCCAAACGGTGGATATGGGTGGGAGTCTGAACGTGGGTCGCATCGTGATTGAGAATCGCGAAGTGGGCTGTCAGTTGCACCTGGCGGGATGCGTCGGTCGTGGAGCAGGGCGCACTCTCCCTGCCGGATGGCGTGCTAGCCTTGCTCCATGATCAGTATCGCTATTAATACTAACCAAAGTGCATCGAAATGTGGTCAGCAAGTCAGCAATGCATGCAGGAGGATTTGGATCGAGATCACTTGGACCGATGGCGCGCTCCTTGTATCCGCTTGAAATGTCTTGGCAAAAGCCCTCCCAGAGGATGATATTTGTAGCACTCGCTGAAGACTGCATGGCGCATCATTGCACAAAACTATAAAAAGTCTCGACAGGTGTCGATAAACGCTTGAAAATCTACGCGAGGGGGATCTGGGCCGGTCCCGGCAGCCGCTACGGAGTGGTGCAGGTAGTCCACTAGGCAGCACAGGGAAGTCATGGCGAGCACGGCTGTGCTAGGACACTGATTCTCTCAGGTCGGACCACCATCCCGAGGATTGTTTGATTGCATCCCTCATATTAGACCAACGCCTGGTCTGAAGAGGTTGTGACCAGGGGGACTGTCCATGCATTGTCACACATGACCCACCGGGCTGCTCATCCCGTCTTCCCTGGCTCGTCGATGCAGGACCCTGTTCGAGACACCTTTAAACTTCTGTTCATCTGAATGGCAGCTGCTGAGAGGCCCAGCCGGTCTGGGACAGGAGCTGACCGCCACCGGAGCGATGCTGCAGCTGCAGCGCAGGTCAGTCGGCAACTCCTGGAGTGCCCCTGGCCGGAAGCCCTGGCTGGACCGGAGCTGAACCGGCAGCGGCATGCAGCGCTGCTCCTCACCAACCAGGCGGATCCAGGGGAGCATGGCTTCTCAGCACGCCCACTAGGGCTCATGGTTGATCATTTGTCGGGCAACACAGCCCTCTTCCCGGATGAGGCGGACCCGGTGGCAGCCCTGGAGGCTGCCAGAGCGCTGCTGGACAGCACGCCCCCCACTGGGTACCTGGCACTGGACACTGGTGGTGAGGGGCTCGTCCTCGTGCCTGAGAGGCTACGAGGTGCAGTGGACGACTCCCACCAGGATGAGGAGGGCTGAAATCTTGTACAGACATCTGGAGCGAGAATCGAATCCTTGCATTCTTGATGTAACGAAGGGGCGTGTGTAAATGCATCGCGATCCCAGGAGACCCCTCTGCCTGTGCAGGATGCTCAAAGCCAGCAACTCCCAGGGATAAAGGCCATGCGCACAAATCCCCGAGTGATGGTGCCGGGGATTCGGCAGTGCGGCCCCTACCTGACCACTTCGGGAGTAGGTTTTCCCCGCAAACCCGTTGACTGCATATAAATCCATACTGACGGAGCTCAGGATTCTCTGTCCGTGCCCCGGTGTGGAGGCGCTCACGAAACAACCCCCAGGACCCAGTAGGGGTGACTGGGAACGGGGCGAGAGAGTGGCCTTCAGTCCCCTCCGCGCAGCACCTTCCGGGATGTCAAACCCAGTGAGCACCATGGAAGCCCTGGCAGAGATCGCACACCGCCATTTCAGTCACTCCGGCCGTCCTTGCTCAGGTGCGTGCGTGTGCCCGCTGAGGCACATATGTGCTGAGCATTGTTAGACACGCGCCGAAGACCACCCGGCGTCGTGTACATCCCCATGCCGTCCCGATCTACCGCGCAGTGACGTCTCCCGGGGCGAAGTGCGGACCCGGGCATGGCGTCGCGGTGGAACAGGCAGGGACTGGGGCCCCAGCGGGGGGTGACTGAAAATGGGGGTTGGGGAATGTCAAGTTCGCCGAAAGGTGCTGCACGGCGCCGGCCCTCCATTCAGCCTCACTCTGCCCAGCGTGATGGGTTGTAGAATGGCCTGGTGCTGGTGACGTGACCCCAACACCACTCTGGCTGAGTGGCAGAAGTCCCTCTCAGCGTCTCCTGCGCTGGGCATCGCCCAACGGCATGTGCCTCTGCCCTCTGATCCCATCCCCCCCCCCCCCCCCCCCCCC